CCCCAACAACGCACGATCAATCAGCTGGTTACCTCAAGTCCGCAAACGTCCCCTGCTGCAAAGCACCCGACCAAACCTTTCTTCGTCCCTTCAACGACCGAGTACTTTTTGTTGTCAACATGCCTTTTGGATTGGGAAACACTTCTTCCTCTTCAGGACTCTCTGGTGGAGGTGTCAATAATGAAAAACTCGAAGCTGCTGTTGTCGAGTAAGTATTTCATTTCGACCTTTGGTGTTCGTTCGCTTCACGCCATCTTCTGTCTCTCAACTGCCCGTTTATGTTCCTTCTGAAATATCGTGCTTGTGTACTCTTTTTCAATCCAATGACTTTGAGGAGAAAAGAATTGCTGTTCTGACATTATTCGTTTACAGGCTCGATATGGTCACTGACGTTTTCAACCGCATGGTCGCGTATGTCTTCATCTTGAACTAAAACAGTATTTACACGTCTCTGACAACTTTTCTTCTCGTTTCGATTTCCATTATCACGTCGACCAACCTTTACATGACGCTGACACTGCTCCTGATGAAAATCATGCCCTCTGTGCAGCTCTTGCGCGTCTAAATGCCTCAACCAACGATATTCGGAAGCGGACCTCACAAAGGGTGAAGCTGTTTGCATCGACAGATGCGTAGGCAAATTCATCGAGGCCAACAAGATTATTGGCGAGAAACTGAGAGAGTCTGGCGGCGGTATGAACCCAGGTGGCATTTAAAATCGCCGTTTTAGATTCGTTGGATAGTTTTCTTGCAATCAGGATAGACGAGGACGCTATATTCAGTTTGCTAATCGAGTTTATACACTATTCACCCCGTACCACACGGGATCACATCTTATGACAGACTAATCGTCGAGTTTGCAGTTTTATGCATATTTCATGTTCAAAATCGCATAGCTACATGCATGTAAGAGGCATAACACCAGAGTCGAGCACCAGGACAAACAGTGAGTCGCTCATCGGTTCTAAATAAATTCATGGTTAGCGTCAAGTGGAGTAAAAAGACTAAGGACAGAATAACGGCATGTAGGAATTGATGGTGGCAAGAGGACAGTGAGCATGAAACGCACCTTGACGAAACCGATGGCAGCGCTCTTTTCACGGAAGCACTGACGGCAGAGGTCAAGTCCGTACTTGCGAATCAGACCAGCTTGGTGGGCGCAGTGGCGGCTAGTGGGCGAAAAGTTCGAGAGTCGATTCGGTAGCGCAAGTCCACAAATCAAACAGAGCCAAAGCAAAAGAGGGAATGAGTCAGCAAAGTAAGACGTAGTTTCACAGTAAAGATAGGAGCAAGATATGTGTATGAATGAGACAAGTACACACCATTGCCTGGAGCCTTTGCCAAACTTGCGGGGACGAGAGAACCAAACGGCGTCGTGGGTCATTTTGCTACTTGATAGAGAATAGTTCCATCATTGTGAATAACGGAGGACCAGGCGTGAATGGGGATAGACGTTTGATACAAGGCCAGTAGAATGTCGTGTCGAGTAGAACAGATTGAGATTGCCAAAAGGTTCCATCAACAAGAGTAACATTATTCCATT